CCTTTTGACTTTGCCTGCAAAGCTTATCTATCAGAAACAACATGGAGGTGAGGGTGGAATAGCACAGGTTTCTCAAAAAAAAGACCAACTGATGGGAAAATAATAACCCACTTCAGCTTTTTAAATTCGTGCTCTTCGGGTTTCGGCTTTTTAGCTTCCGGTTCATCACCTGGTAACCTCGCACAAACGATGTCTGGTTGGTTTGTTTTGGTTAACCTGAAATCAGAACAGAGATGAAATTAAGTCACAGTGAGCAGTTGCAAAGCAATCAGCACCTTATGGATGGCGAGACACACTCACACACAGGTTCGTACATTACACCCGAAAATGGAGGGAGCGTTGCCATTACCGTGGCAGCCATTGCGCCTTTGGTAGGATATAGCCATGTTGAGGCAATAGTGATAATTTCCTTGTCAGCCCAAGAGAGAATGTCAGTTGTCAACGACGGAATGATCCCACGAAAAACGCATTCTACGCTGTTCAAGTGGACTACGAGGCCACGCCCCTCCCATCTTTAGGATATCGAATGCGTTTGAGGTAGGCGGGAGAACTGTTGTGTCATGTGTGCTTCTAAACTTTGAATGCTTGCCCTAAGCCAGGGAAGGCGTGACCGATAATGTGAACGATAATACCCAGGGTGACACTCGTTCTAGTACCACTGGTTTCCATGGTACTGGACAACGGCCCTCTTCTGATCACTGGCGTGCCCACCATTGGCTGCCTCCGAACTACCTCACTTTATAGCCGAAGTGCAGAAATGCTTCCCGTCATGAGCACTTTCCTGCATTGTGAAATGATGGTGTTCATAAGGGAACACAAACGATGGAGGGATTCCCTGCAGCAATGTTGTATACATCTAACCTTGCATGTTCCTCTGAAAGGAAAAACTTAGTCTGGGAAAGATCTCAGAAAAGACTTCCGGACCCTGCCGGAAAGAGGCGAGAAACGGTGAATACTTCCCATGAAGTCAAAGTTGCAACTCGGGAGATGCAAGTAACTCTTCGACAATGTTCACGCACCGCGACTAAACAATTCCACCTGTACATTTTGCACGGCTGCGAATGGGACCGACTGCGCTCCACCGCTAATCGTTAGACCGGTGTAATTCACACATCAATTCGAAACCGACACAGATGTAAATAGGATATTGATCTTTAGTAGACTTCATATCCAATCACTGCTTATCTTCATGGCTCAGGCCCGAACGGTCAAAAGTTCTCCACTGATGTGTTCTGTAGTTTCTCTCAGGGCTCTACAAAGCAACTTTTTGCCTTTTTTTGCGCCGAAACACCCACTCCTGCACACAGTAGACCTCATTGGAAGCCCCGCCCCAGGCAGCCATGCCCCTTTCTGCCGCGAAGATATTTTACACTTATATACCTGTACTGAATGTTTCAATCGAATGTGCTAGCAGTTTCCTGAGCTAAACCTGCGATTTAGGGATTCGTATATTATGCGCAAATGGGGGCGGGCATACGCGATGGGTGAATACTTCGACAAACGAGAAGTATCCGGGCAGCTCGAAGTAAAATACAACTTCCCCGCCTGCCAAGCAGATTCGAGCCATCTGATCTTGTAAATATCAAATCTTGGTTTGGGTGAGATCCTACATCACAAACCTTGTGAGTGCTACGGTGCACCACTTAGCATTTAGAGCTCAAACTTATAACTTTGAACACCAATAATCTTACTTGGCCCATGATTCAAAACTTAGTGCTTCTCCGCCAAGCATGATATTGCCTTGCTCGTCTTCTTCCACTTCTAACTCGCCTTCTTCGGTTACCATTCTGCAAAAAATACAGTATGCTGAGACTATAAATGAAAAAGAGAAAAAGAAGGGTAAGTCGAAAAGGACAGCGAGTCCTACTTTTGACGTTGAGCTTCCAGTAAGGCACCTACACCCATCATCACACGACCGGCACGAGATTCTGCTGAGTTCTTCCTGAAAACAAAAAGGAGGGTACATCCTTGAAATGCTAAAACCGTTGCTCACGCTTACCCCCTGAATCGTTTCCTACTTGGTGCCACCGGGACATACTCAGCAGCCTTCATCTGGACCAATGTTGGCCGGTCAACAAAGGTTTCTCTTCTTACTTCTTGCTTCCAGCCCCTTAAAAAGTTGCACATAATAAAGGATCTGGATGGAAAGGAAGCACTAGAGAGCTCAAGGCGAGAAGCATGAACAAATCAATAACAGACTTTATCAAATCTTGCAGATGTTCCCTCATCCAAGCAGTTTGTGCCTCAGTAAGATGCCTTTGCAGAGTGTGCAACATTGCCGGTCGCAGAACGCTATCTGGCAATCCTCCAACCTGAGCCGATACCGCATCACACATCGTATACAGCTCCATCACATCCGTAATTTCGGCCCAGTTAACACGCTGATCCGTGACGTACTGAAACAGTAAATTTCTCAAACATGAATTTGTACGTTCTCTGTGCCCTACTGAATCCTGAAAGCGAAGATTCTAGAGGGTATAGGGCAGGAGGTCCACAATGCGGCAACGCGGCATCGACGCGGACGTCGAAGTCTCGCGTGCCACCTCTCCACTGACAAGGGAGGTCGCTCAGGGCGTGGTGCGCTTTTTGAAAACGGTTTTTTGCATATTGTAGGGGACACATACGAGGACCAGAAAACTGAGGTTCATTTTCACTGCGCGTTCCTGGGGTTTC